TCATGAGCAGTACAGTTATACGCCCGATCGATCGTAGTACTTTTTGTACAGTTATGCATGAAACAACTCCAATAAACAGAATTTCGTAGGCAATAAAAACAATGCGAACCATCAAAAATTTGAAAAAAAATTGTATCCGATCATTTTGAAAGAGCAACACTTGTTTGTTCTGTTTGGCAGTATAAGTTTTTCTCTTCCTGATTGGATTTCCCAGCGCCTTGTTGATTTGTAATACAGTGAACTACTGTACCGTATTTGAGCAGAGCAGCTTCTATTTGTCTAAAAAGCACTGAGCGTGTAAAACAAGTCTGTCTAGTTTGTATGACGCGTTGTAGCAGTGGCGGGTTTACTTTTTCTTCTCTTCTCAGCGGCTGCCCAAGTGCCTACCTCACAGCCACTGCCACTGCTGTATTTTGCTAATCTTTATTACCATCCAGTTTTAATAAAACTGTTCAGTCCGCTAGCTCATTTTTTGGACTAAAATAATTATAATTCATACTGGCGCAGTAGCAAGTGGGGGATACTCCTATGCAGTAGTAGATCAGGGTTTAACTCTGCCGGTAAGACAGCCTTTTCATCTCCGACTCGCTCATTCATCTCGATGGTAAATAGGTATTGCTATGTGTCAGGGAGTCAAAACTGTCATCGGACTAATTTTAAACAGGCCCAGGAAGGGAGTAGCTAACATCTTCGCTAGTTGGTGTTGGTACTTGCTAACTCCATTTAATTTCGAGTGTTTGGGCTTCTCACAGCATATAACAGAGAAGTTATTGCTGACAAATTCATATTGTTCATACTTTTTTGACAAATTCATATTTTTAACTGGCCGCTCTTGTAACAGTAGTAAAAAAGCGCTCGGAAAATCTTAGAAGGCTTAGGATCGCAACGTATCTTTTTTTTTTTTTTTTTAAATGAATTACTTGGAGCTACAGCAGCAAAACAGTAGTAGACGCGGTCGCACTTTAGATCGATTGTGATATCTGGGTCAACATTCAGCGGAATGTCATACCTCCTGTTTTATTCTTTGTAGGCTACCCTCGACAGTGGCGGCAATCGAATTTAGCTTGTTATTACTTTAGCCAAAGTGCATCGGCTATCAGTTTTCGCAATGATTTGCGCAGTGATTGAGAAATTTGTGGCCTAGAGGCAGAATTCAGCGAGCCTCCACCAGCACCGTTCACTGAAGAAATCAGTGAAAACATTCTTTTCAAAGAATAGAGCAAACTTGTCCAGTACGTTGACATGAGGAAGTGTTTACCGAAGTTACCTAAAAATGTTTTTATCGATACTTTGCCAAACAACGTCAAAACTGTTCAGACTTGGAATACATTATTTTTAATTCTATACAGAGCTTAAAAAAAACACACCAAATCAGAACTGGTACTAATCTAGCAGGGCATTACCCATTTTGGCGCACACT